TGGAGGGGCGGCGTGGCAGTGGGGAGCCCGGGCCAGGCCCTGGCCCGTCAGGACTCCTGCCTTCGTGATAAGCTGTTTCCTCAGCCTCAGCAAGTTGACATAAAGGAAGAGCCCGACGGGGCAGCGCGTGGGCACAGCCCCACGTCAGCTGTGGAGAGTAGAGCCGGAGCCATCTTCTCCCTCCCTGAGCCTGGCCAGGACGCAGACCGCGCCCCTCTCCCGAGCCTCCTTCGGGCCCTTGCCTGACGTTTCCCCCGCCGGCCTTGTATGTCTGCCTTGGCTGAGTCCCTCCCTGCCTGACCCCCCTTTCCGGGCACCTGTGTGGCTCTGTGGGCAGTGCCCTGTGGCGCCCTGGGGTCTCTTCGTGCTCAGAGGCAGAGCTGAGGTGAGGGGCCTCCGGCCAGCCTCTCCAAGCACCCACCCTGCCCAGCCATGCATCTCCTGGCCGGTGGCTGCCTTGCCTGGCGCTGATTCCCCGCTCCCCACACACCAGCCCTCTGGCTCAGCGCTCCTTCCTCTCTGGACTCAAGCATGGGCAATTCAGATGATCTCACCTTAAGGTCTTTGGCAAAGGGCGGGGGGACTTGAACTCAAGCCTGGCAAGGTCTCTGAGCTTTTCTACCCAGTGTTCTTCCACTTGAGTGACAGTTCCACTTTCAGCTTTTAGGGGTGTGTGTGTGTGGTTAACTGAAGTCTCATGGACGTTCCTGCCCAGGCTGCCCTCAAACCACGATCCTCAGATCTCAGCCTCCTGAGTAGCCAGGCTCTTGTGTGTTGGGCTGAGATAGGGTTTCACTGTGTGACCCTACTGGCCTTGAGCTCTCCCCCCTCGTCGGCAACGGAAGTGCTTGGTGAAGGATCCTGCACATCCATGCCAGGGGACCATGCAGAGGCAGGCGGGCCCAGGAGGGAGATTATTACAAGGTTTATTAGAGGAGCGGTATCCCCCCCCAGAGGCAGCACATGGCGTCTGTCCCTATCCCTGGGGGCAGGAAGTGAGGTGGGTGGGAGCTCAGGTGGGTCTGGGTGGAGAGAGGGGGGAGCGGGCCGCGGGGCGGGAACTGCAGGGCTGGCGGAGCTGAGGACCCAAGGTGCGTGTGGTGCGAACACTTATCTACCCCTGGTAAGAGCACCGACAAAGGCTGAGTCACTCCCAGGCAGAAAGCAGGGGCGCCGGCCTGTCCGTGGAGACCACCATTCACCACACTGGCAGGCTGGGCCTTGACCTGCCCGGGCGCTGCGTTTCAGGACCTGGAATCTCCTCCTACACCTCGGACCCCACGCAGGCTGGTGAGAGCCTGAAGGGCTGCCTGGGGGAGGCACTGGGGCTGATCCCTAAGGCTCAGCATCCAGACACAGCCACGTTCCTGGGCGCCACGGCCGGCATGCGGCTGCTCAGGTGAGGGGACCCCAGGCTGCGTCCCGAGAGTGGCTGCGGTCGGAGAGGGGGGAAGTCTCCTGCTACCAGGCCTGGTCCTCCCACCCAGCCAGAAGAACGGCTCCCTGGCAAGGGACATCCTGGCTGCGGTCACTCGGGTGCTGAGCCAGTCTCCTGTGGATTTTTGGGGTGCGGAAATCCTGACGGGGCAAGATGAAGGTTCCTTTGCCTGGATCACCATCAACTATGCCCTGGGAAGGCTGGTCAAGGTGTGTGGGCAGCCCGAGGGTGGGGCGGGGCCAGCGGTCAGGGGCCCGGGGCTTGGGCTGTCTGGCGGGCAGTGGGGTCGGCCGGCATGGCCATCGGGGCTGAGCGTCCATCTGTCATCAGTACTCCTCGTCTGGAGAATGGATTCAGCCCGCCGAGTGGGCTCCAGTGGGCGTGCTGGACATGGGCGGCGCCTCCACCCAGATCAGCTTCGTGCCCATGGCCCCCATCCTGGACCAGAGCACCCAGACCACCTTCCGCCTGTATGGCAGGAACTACAGCGTCTACACTCACAGCTACCTCTGCTACGGGCGTGACGCAGCGCTGGGCAGGCTCCTGGCGGCCTTGGTGCAGGTCAGGCGCCGGGCTGGCGAGGCAGGGAGGGGGGCGGCTGGAGAGGGGGGCAGGCTGCCGGAGTGCACACCTCCTTCCCCTCGCAGCAGAGCGGCCCCCAAAGGCCGGTCCATCACCCGTGCTACCACAGCGGCTACCAGGTGGTGCTGCCCCCAGCCGCCCTGCACGGCTCGTCCTGCATCCCCAGCTCGGCCGTCCTGGAGCCCCCCCGGAACCTCACCGTCCTGGGGACCGGCAACCCTGCCGCCTGTCTGGCGGCCATCCGGGCACTCTTCAATTTCTCCAGCTGCGCGGGCCAACGCGAGTGTGCCTTCAACGGGGTCTACCAGCCCCCGCTGCGGGGCCGCTTCTACGTGAGCCCAGCCCCTGGCGCTGGCTGCCCTCCCGCTGGGCCCCAGAGTGACCAGGAAGGGCGGGGTCAGGTGGGACGGGAGGAGCCCTGATTGGCTCCTAGGGACTCCCGTGCCATGGGGGGGGGGGTGACAAGCAGCAATTCCTCTCCTCCCCAGGCCTTCTCCGATTTCTACCACACCTTCAGCTTCCTGAACCTCACCTCCAGGCAGCCACTAGGCACCGTCAACACCACCATCTGGGAGTTCTGCCAGCGGCCCTGGAGGCTGGTGGGTGGGCCCTGGGCACCTGCCCTGTGGGATCCCTGTGCTGGCATCCTGCGGGCTGGCCTCGGGCCTCGCTGCTCAGGGAGTGTGGGGCCCCCAGCCTCACTACCGCTCACTCCAGGCATCAGGCAACTGGGTTTGGGGGAAGCCATGGGTAGAGAGGGAAGACAGCTCCGTGGTCTGCCTGCTGGAGGGCGGGGGGCGGGGGTCCTGGCCCTGAGCCCTCTGGGTAGCATGCGGTGGGTCACCCGGCTGGGCCCTCTAGACCATAGCGTGGTCTCCGTGGGGCCCTTGGCTCCCGGGAGGGCCTGGCCTGCCGCTGTCTCGGGGCTCATCGGGCCAGGACCTGTGCTGGGTGCGGTGCCCTCACCCGCTCCCCGGCTCTGGACCCCAGGTGGAGGCCAGCTACCCTGGACAGGAGCGCTGGCTGTGCAGCTTCTGCGCCGCGGGCCTCTACGTCCTCACGCTGCTGCAGGGCTACGGCTTCAGTGCCGACACCTGGCCCAGCATCGACTTTGAGGAGCAGGTGACCACGGCCCCCAGCCCGGCTCCCCTGCCTCTCCGAGGGGCAGGATGGGCTCAGAGGCAGCTGTGCCCTGCCCTGAGAGGCCCCGTGTCCGGCAGGCTGGCGGCGTGGACATCGGCTGGACGCTGGGCTACATGCTGAACCTGACGGGCATGATTCCCGCCGAGGCGCCGGCTCCAGGGCGGGCGCAGAGCTACGGCGTGTGGACAGCTGGGGTCGTGTTCCTGGTGCTGACCATTGGGACCGTTCTCGGGGCTGGCGCCGTCCAGCTCCTCTGGCCCCAGGAGTAGACGGAGCCTGACTAGCATGGACGGCAGGGGTGATGAGGGCGTGGTGTATGAGGGGCAGGGACCTGGACATCTGTTGTCCAAACCTGGGGAGCCATTGGTGGCCCGGGCGGTAGACAGCTGTCCCGCAGGCCCCCGGGCATCCTGAGCCCACCACCCTCGCCAGCTGCTGACCCCCAGGGTGACACCTTGACAACCTTGGGTCATGTGGCCACGGACGGAGTCCCAGGCCTTCAGCATGGGCAGGGGGTGGGAGCAGGGGCAGCCGAGGGGGAAGCGGGGCTGTGGCTGGCAGGGAGCCAGGCTGGGCTGGGCTCCTCCACTGCAGGGCCCAGAACACTGACCACAGGGCGCAGTTTTTATTAAAAGCAGACGACACAAGATCGTTCAGTGCCGGTCAGGGCTCGGGGGCTGTGAAGGTTCCACACAGGTGCCAGCCAGAGCCACGAAGCACTTGGGGAAAATGCCGATGCGGCCATCACGGTGACCCTCCAGCCACGCTGCGTCCACTGCGGGAACATGCAGTCGGTCTGCTCCGAGCCCAGGCTGCTGAGCCTGGACACACCCGCCCACCTCCAGCCCCAGGAGCTCTGGGCAGCCCCAGGCAGCCGGCTGTACCTTCACACAGGACATCCAGCACGTCCCCTTGGTTGAAGGCCAGGTCTGCAGGGCCTTGGGCCGAGTAGCTGTGCTGGGCCACCACCTGGTGGAGGACTGGCCGGCCTCCGGCTGCCTGTGGGAAGAGGGTGGGTCGTGGGGGCGGCCTGGAGCCGGGGTCCCCTGCATCTGGATGGCTGGCTGGCCTGGAGCCGGGGTCCCCTGCATCTGGACAGACAGCCTGGAGCCGGGGGTCCCCCAGCATCTGGATGGACAGCTGGCCTGGAGCCAGGGTCCCCCTGTATCTGGACTGACAGTTGGCCTGGAGCCAGGGTCCCCTGCATCTGGCCGGCCGGCCTGGAGCTGGGGTCTCCTGCATCTGGACAGACGGCCGGCCTGGAGCTGGGGTCTCCTGCATCTGGACGGAGGGTCGGCCTGGAGCCGGGGTCCCCTGCACCTGGATGGACAGACAGCCTGAAGCCGGGGTCCCCCTCACTCACCCGGCACTGGAGCCGCAGTCCCCTGAACCTGTCTTCGTCCCTCCATGCCCCCTGCAGTGAGTCCTCCCCATGGATGGGTGTCCACAAGCCCTCCTCACCAGGAGCTTGGTAACTGCGAAGAGTCCTCAGGGTAGGCCGGGGCTGCCGCCACGGGGTACAGAGGGCAGTGCCAAGGCAGCGCTGGGAAGGGAGCCTTGACAGCCCTCCCTTGTGGTCAGCCTCCACCAGCCCGGCCTCCCGTGTGGTCGGCCTCCACCCGCCTGGCCTCCCGTGTGGTCAGCCTCCACCCACCCGGCCTCCCATGTGGTCAGCCTCCACCCACCCGGCCTCCCATGTGGTCGGCCTCCACCCACCTGGCCTCCCATGTGGTCAGCCTCCACCCACCTGGCCTCCCGTGTGGTCGGCCTCCCGCCTGGCCTCCCGTGTGGTCGGCCTCCAGCCCGCCTGGCCTCCCGTGTGGTCAGCCTCCACCCGCCTGGCCTCCCGTGTGGTCGGCCTCCAGCCCGCCCTGCCTCCCATGTGGTCGGCCTCCACCCACCTGGCCTCCCCTGTGGTCGGCCTCCCGCACGACCCTGTCTTCCAGCAGCAGCGTGGACCCTGGGCCTGGCAGGGATGCCTGCCTGACCCCAAACTACCTCTCGCCCACTGGCCCACTGTGGCCCCCCCGCTCCAGCTCACCCCCCTCGTTCAGACCACCCGCCCCCTTCCACCCCGGGACGGCGTCTGGTCCTACCTGAGCTGCCCCAGCAGGGCCTGGCGCGGGAGGGCCTGAGCCAGAAGAGCCCTGAGGGCGGCCAGGCCGGCGCCCCTGGGGGCCTCCAGGGCCACCGTGAAGACACACTGCACGGTGACGGGCACGGAGGGCCCGCGGCCCGCTGCCGCCACTCCCTGGGGACAGAACGGGCCCCTCAGACCTGAGAGGGCTGAGGGCGGGGAAGGCCGGGAGGGGATAGGGCACGGGGTGGGAGGGAGGCTCTCACCACAGTGGCTGAGGGCTCCGATGCCGACCGCCCTGCGGGGTAGAGCAAGGGGGTGCGTCACCGCTTCCCCCACGGAGGGGAGAGAAGATGTGGAGAGCAGCGGCTGATAGGCACCTTGGTGCTGTCCCAAGCTTTCCCCGTCCACCTCCCCCCCCACGGCCTCTGACCCCACACCTCCTCACGGCCTCTGACCCCACATCCCCCCCACGGCCTCTGACCCC